CCCCCCCCCCCTACCAAAAAAAATTAGAGCCATATTTGTTTTCATATAATTTATGTGAAGGTATTTTTTTAGTAGGAATCAAGTTTATCTATTGTCTTTATGTTCTGATTTGTGAATTACGCAACTTATGTTAAGAATGACTCTTCATTACTTCTATTCCAGGTTTCTCTGCCCAATCAATCTCACCCTATTCAGTTTGGAAATACAGTGCTACAACCCATTTTATCATCTCCTCAGACGAATACTGTTGTTCGACGGCTTGTAGGAACTAGAGGTAGGTGACTCAGTAGTAACCATATAGTTTTTTATTGGAAAAAAAAAGCTATTATTTGACAAATAGCACACATTTTTAAAACATGCTAATATAAACTAAATTAATATTGATTTGTCTCTTCCAGACAGTTTTATGAATTAGAAGTACTGATAGAGTTGAGCTTTACAAACTTCTTTCTTAACTAGTAAAGAAATGTGTATTAACTTTCTTGGTCTACAAAATTATAATATGTTAACGTGTAACTTTGTTAGTTTCTATCAAAACTAAGAGGTCATCAGAATGAGGTTTTTAATTAAATGCTTAAATATTTTGTTTGTCTTTTGGTTTAAGTGAATTACATTATCTAACTGCATGACTTTTTTTTTATCTCAAGATTTGAACAAATCTCATAAATGAATAAAAAAAAAAAAATCTGAAAGTTGAATCATTCAATGGGTGTTGGTAAACCTTTATCTCTTCAACAAATTCTTATGTTACATGCTTAGAACTTCATGGATCTCCTGCCATTCCTACACTGGCTGATCGTTTTCAGTCTCCCATTGCTGGCAGTGGAACACCATCCACAGCAAGAAGACGACTGTTTGGAGTTGTACAAAACAACCAGTCGAGTCCAGTTGGACCAATCATAGTTCCTGTACGCCAGAGCACAGATGGAGTGGTCACACAGAGTAGTCAGGCTTCAACACAGAGTCCAGGTCAAACCATAGCTATTACTATACAAAGTATGTATAATATACGTTTGCTTTTGGAAGAGTAGATATTTCTTGTCCATTGAAATGGATGTTTTGCCGGGTTTTTTTTGTAAATAAGTTAATGATAGAAAATAAAAGAAAAATAGTGGTAAAATTGATATTGTTTGGAAAGTAGACAAAATCACAGTTGACTCGTTGTAGTCTTGTTCACTTGACTACAACTGTGCTATTTTTCTTTAACATTTACATGGCTACAACACAATACTTGAACTTTATTTATTTTGTTCATTTACAGTTGAGAAAAATACTATGGTATATAATATCGTTAACATCTTTCCTCGTATTGTGTTTGGAAAGTAGACAAAATCACAGTTGACTCGTTTATTTTTCAGATGTACAAAGTAATAATGGATTGGCTTGCTTAATTCCTACACAAGTTACAAACTCACCTCAATCAGAGATACTTATTCCAAATGGTCCAAGTAACCTGTCATCTGTCACACATACTACTGGAGTTAATGTTACTACTGATTCTGTGACTGCTGCAACGGCTACAGAGACAGTTACTCCTGCCGATCGAAAACCCAACAAACCTAAGCGAACAGGGTCTCTGGGGTTGTTCTTCAGGAAGGTAAAAATTGCTCAAGTATTTTCATCTTGTGTTTGGTTACTTTATTTGGTGGGTGAAATAATGTATCATAAGTAATTTTATACCAGTTATATACATCTGGGCTTGATTTTGTATTTTTCAAGTTCGTACTTTACCAGATGCTTTATGTCCAATTAAGGTAAATTTCATATAAAACACTTGCACATAGTACCTGTATGAATAAATTTTGCTGTTAACCAGTTGAAAGACACAGAATTAATTTAGATAGGTGCTACCAGCTTGTTTTTTAATTCAAGTACAAACACATCTGCTAGCTTGAACAGTCTTGTTCACTTGACTACAACTGTGCTATTTTTCTTTAACTTTTACATGGTTACAACACAATACTTGAACTTTATTTATTTTGTTTATTTATAATAATGAAAGTCTTCTGGAAATCCGGATATTTCTAAAAAAATCCTGAAAACCTTCGGTTTTCTTCCGGAGAAACACATTTTTTAAAATTATTTATCGGATTTTGGTGTTCCATGCCATAGATAAACGTTTATGCAATCGCGCGGTTTGTTTACATTTGGTGAATGAGTTTGATTTTACAATAAATATA